ACAAAAAACACTCTAATTTATACTTTAAAAATAAAGCATTTTAATAAATAAATTGTGAAATATATTAAATTAAAAAGACTTACCAACCATTATCTTATAAATAAGATATTATATGAAATAACTATATGATAAGCATATTCAACCGAAACTTTGACAATATTTTATTAATAGCATCAATGATCCCGGCTAGGCCTATCACCAAAAGATTAAAATAATAATAATAATAATAAATGTCAACAATACCAGACAAGGTAGCTTCCGATCTAATATGTGAAAAATGAACGCGTTTAATAAAGGTCTCAATTGACGGCTAAAAAAATAAATAAAGGTCTCAATATGCAATTATTAAATTGGACTCTAATAATTGTAGCTTTGTTAGTCAATGGTGATAGCTGGAAATCATTGTTTGTAATGATCATCAACATGGGGGGCGGCAAGGGTGGGTGAGGAAGAGAAAATAAGAGAGAGGAAAAAGGCAAGGAGAAAAGGAAAAGGAAGAAACAAACAACTAGTAGTGTTACTATACATGATGGATGGACTAAGTACATTCCTCACACACTCAAATCAACCAAAAAGCCCCATCCATTTCAAACCCAGCTCAACCTCTAAAACTACAACATCAACAACTCTCTTTCAGGAGTACAACAATGTAATGAAGACCAAAAAAGAAAAAATGGGTACCGATAATTCCAGTGCCTGACTGCGGCAGCCTGCATCAAATATATGGAAAGAATGCTTTGGTTAACACTGATAGTCCTTGTTAAACAATCCTGCATTTGCTAGTTTTTTCTTTTTAACATTCAGAACCAAAAAAAGAAGAAAATTGCTGTTCTAAGTTTTGTTGAAGAATTCCTTTAACAAAATAACCTACCAGTACTTTTCCGTCTCTCGGATGATGGCAGTGCAGGCACCGACATCTCTTCCTCTGCAAAAGAGTAGCCATTGGGACATTGTTATGGTGAAGAGTTAACAAAGTTTGCTCTAAACTTCAATTCTAGTGATCCCTTCTAAGTACAAGAAAATGTTATTACGCATAGAAGTCATTACTTCCCAAACAATTACCTGGTGCACATAGAGTTAACGATGACATTGAGGAAGACGATGGCCATGGAGCTGCAATGTTGTCAGTTAAGTCACACATAAAGCCGTAAAAGCCTGTTGAATTGTCAAGTATCACATCTGTTGGCAAACTTCGTAGTAGACACCCTACATATGTACAGGAAAATATGCATCCTTTATGAGAAGTAACAAGAATACAAGCATTTTCCTTTGATGGAGAAACACAGAGATATTAAAACAAACCTGGTAGTCCATAAGCTGTTCCAGTGCCCATGAATAAGCCCATGAAAGGAGGCAAAACAAGGAAAACCAATATTAGATAGACAAAAATAGTCAAATTGATTAGAAGAATAACATAAAAACGGGATTTCATACGTTGAATGCTAAAATCTTTCAAGTCGACATCGCAAAGCTCATAAATATTTGTCATGACGCCACCTTTCCGTAACATGGACCCAAACTCCATTGCACAGATAATTGCTTGCTTGTTTGTAATTAACATCTGCTTCTGTATACCCACAATATAAGTGTTTAATGTGCTACAGCAGGAAGGGCTTGGAGCAGCTAGATTACGGCATGCTTTAATTACTTCCAAAGGCTGCTTAAATTCTAAAGGGCAAACTGCAAAGATGAAAGGGGCAGAGGGATAAGTACACCAATTAATAAGCTAAAACTGGAAGGCAGAAAACCACTACCAAAACAGAAAAAATGCATAGATCTTCTAAACTGATAGCTAAAACACTAGCAAAATCTTTCATCTATGGAAGTTAAGATTATTAGAAACTAGAGCAATTTCAAACTAAGAAGACAAACTAGATGCAGAACAAAGTTCACATGGGAAGCAACAATAAGGCATAAGGTTAACAAAGACTGTACCCCTGTTAACTTTGCATGAAGATAATATTCGAAATGCATTATTTGCATCATCTTCTGGGAGTTTCCTTGAAAGATATGAATACACCACCTCCTTGCAATCATTCATGGTATCGATTTCCATAGGCTGCCCAATTATATTTTTATTCTCACTGACTGTCATTTGTGTTCCAGAAATGACCAAAGCAGCTTTCATAATTTCGGGTTGGCAAACTGGCCTGCAGCACTCCTTAAGCTGATCAACAGCACTGCAAGCTTCCAGCAATTTGCTCGTATTTACCATTTTCTCAAAGCTGCTAATATCCTTCACAGGACAAGAGCCCCCAGTCAAATTTGATGATTTTACAGAACAAAGCATAGGTACTGTAATGTTGGCCCCTTTGCTAGCTAAGATACTAATGATATCTGAAAAACAATCATTAGCAACAGAAGTTTGCAGGACCAAACTGTCAGAGTTGCTGTTGTAGTAACCCTGGAAGATGTGGAGTAAACTACCCAGCTGGGGACAACATATAACATTCCCTACAAATGCAGCCAAAGGCTGAGAACAATCAGATGCTGTTTTTACCATTATACTTGACAAAGCAGAAAAATTTACAGGACACCTTCCAGTTAAATTTGGCTCATATGTTGTGGGGAAAGTTGGGTACAGGGGTGGCAACGACTCATCAGGATATGGAATGGGTGGAATGACAGCAGGTGATATTTCTATAGGATCAAATAGTCCAGGAATAGGTGGATTAGCTAACTCAGATGTGTGAGATACATGACTCTTGTCAAGCAATGTCTGCATAGATGCTGCAGCTTGGAAACTTGATAGCCAGATAATGAATAATAACTGTTGGCACAAGAAACCTGCAACCAGATATAACCCAGCCACAAAAAATTCATGAATCAGATACAGGATAATAATGCGTAAGAACTTATTTTTGACTTGTTCAATTTAAACTCAAAATGCCTGGTCTAAATTTGTAGCACCCATTAATGAATTCCGATAACATACCCTTGAGACAACTAAAAGCCTGACAACAATCCATAGTTCTGCTAGCCCTCTGGCACCATTGAGTTCTATAATACAAAGTTTTTGGTAGTCAATTATATGCCACAGGCAACATCTGCAGCAATGTAGCGAAACTTCTAGTACTTTCAAGCATTAGAGCCAGAGTGCAATCAAAAGTCTATCTCCTGAAAAAAAAAAAGAAAAAAATATAAAACTTGTGTAATTATCCCTTTAACTGGTAAGATAAAAAGCTTATTGCATATTCCATGCCTTGAACATATCTACATCTGAATTTACTGTTAAATGTTGACTTCAATGAAACAAATTCTTTCAAGGCTAATCACTAGAATAGGAACAAAATATATACGTATGCATCTTTAAAAAAGAGAAAGTGAAAATAGCAGCTCCATTAAGTAATCATGTAGAGTTCAACCTCGAATGCCAAATCTCAATATTTCAAGAAAATAGAAAATCTAAAGAAAGCTCCCAACTTTCTTTACTTCCCATCAATTTCTCCGCTACCAAACAGAGAAAAAAAGGAGAAAAAAGAAAGGGACAGGGATAAAGTTACCTGAAAATGTTGAACATATACATCATTTCCGGTGAATTTACCGGTTCAAGCTTAATGAAACGAAAATGGATAGAAATTGAATGATTTTTCCGGTCCGATCAGGTGCTGAAAATGGAGGTATCTGCAGAAACCCTAGCAAAGTTGAAGCCTTTCTTCTTCGTCGTCTCTTACTTGAGCAAGAGACTGTAACTGGAGCTGATGGATAAAGTGAAGGAGAAAGCGATGCTTTACCTTTTTAGACTACCCGACATTTTCTTCGGATCCGGAACCCGACTTCCTATTGGTACAGACTCCGTTTTCCTAGGGATGATTAAAACGGTGCGTTTAAGTGTAGCCATGCTTAACCCAAACCAGAGCAAGTAAATCGGCCCAATCAATTGGGCCCAATTTATTGGGCCTAGATTTAAAGCACTGAAAAATTCCCCACCCCAACAGTGGACTCCATAAACCCTTTTCTGCAAATTCTCGTTCTATCCTCTTCGACGCCATAGCCGCTCGAGTAAAAGCACAACCAGTTCACCGGAGGCCCGAAGGCTACGTCGGAGAAGTTTCCGGCGAAAATATGGCTACATCAGAGTGAGATGAACTAGGATTATTTCTCTCTGTTTAGGTAAAGGTCTACGTTTCGAGGCTTGATAATGGTTAAAGAGCATTCTTCTGTTGCTCATTTGATTCACTGATAATATGCCTATGAGATTTGATTATATGTTTCTGATGCTGCTGTTTTTGGATTGAGATTCTGAGCTACTCTGTCGAATGATTGCATTATTGGTTTCTGTTTTGGTAGGATCTTTGTTGTAGCATTGTAAAAACATAGTTTGAATCTGAGGTTGAAGGGACTTTCTGCAAAAATGCAGAATCTTTGTCGTATCATTTCACGTCTATCATCCACTTCGCTTGGCACGACTGTAAGTACAGGTAGAGTCTTGAAGGGGAAAACGATATCGAAGGTTGGGGATGATGCATTGAAAACTGGACTTGAGATATATGGAGTTGTTGGATTGCGAGCTTTTTCTGGAAAATCTTGGGGAAGTGGTTTAAACGGTGGAAATGAAGATAATGATGAATGGGGAACTGCTTTCGGTGGAAGTGGTTCATCTGTTGGGAGCACATCCAATGATCTTGGATGGGACACTGATTCTTCATGGTCCACTGGATTGACTGAGGAACATTTTGATGGGCAGGTTGTGGGCCGTCAGACTAGTTCCACCGGTGGTATAGGAGATGCATCCCAATCTTCTGTGATTTCCAATCTGCAAGAAGTTGATGATAAGATAGGAGAGTTGGAGGCTGAGAATAAAAGGAGCAAGGTTTTCATTGATGGACGGGATGAGAGAATGCGGGAGACGTGTGTGCTGCTGAAGCAAGTGCGGGAGCCTGGTGCTAGGGGGTCTTATCTGAAGGACTCTGAAAAGGCTGAGATGTACCGCCTGCACAAGGAGAATCCTGAGGTCTACACAGTTGAGAGACTTGCCAAGGATTACAGGATTATGAGACAGAGAGTGCATGCAATTCTTTGGCTAAAGGAGATTGAGGAGGAAGAAGAGAAAAAGTTTGGTCATCCCCTTGACGACTCCGTTGAATGCTTGCTTGACACATGCCCAGAGTGAGATATGAATCTACATTTTTATTTGCCATGGCATGAAAGCATTTCTTTGTTTATATGCATTTGCTTTTCCCTTTATCCTTCATATCACTTTGTTTGATTTGAAAGTTCTAGTTTCTTCTGGCCTAGCATAAGCCTTTATTGTTATTTTATCAAAGAAATAGCTATTTGATTCATTGAAGTTAATTAATATTTTGTTATTGTAGGTTCTTTATATCTCATGATCGGGAATTTCATGTGGCATCCCTTCCTTATAAACCCGACTTCAAGGTGATGCCAGAGGGTTGGGATGGTACCACCAGAGATCTAGATGAAGTTCATTATGAGATTTCTAAGAAAGAGGATGAAATGTTGTACAAAGAATTTGTCGAAAGGATGAACTTCAATAAGAAGAAGGTATATTTCCTGCTTCCTTCCTTTGCGTCAGGAGAAGCAACAAGCATATGAATCAGTAATATACGTTAAGAATGTTTATTTTTTTTGCTTTTGCCTTTGCAACTCTTCTGCAACTGTTATTTTATTGAGGCCCTAGTTTTTTACTCTCCTGCCCTAGTTCTTCTAATTGACGCACCCTTTTGACAATTTAAATGATGTGGTCAACCCCTATTTACAGATGGCTGGGGAGGTGAAGTGCCACAAGTATAGCAGGCGGCGTTCTTCTGATGGATGGAAAATCACAGTTGAGAAATTGGGACCAAAAGGAAAACGAGGAGGTGGTGGTGGGTGGAAGTTTGTGAGCATGCCCGATGGATCCAGCAGACCACTTGATGAAATGGAGAAAATGTATTTAAGACGAGAAACACCACGCCACAGGCGCAAAATTCTCCCTTGATCCACTCCAAACAACATTCTATTGAAGGATTTTGTGATAGTTTCTGCATTTTATCATTTGGATTCTGGATTCCAAGGCAGTATGTTTTTCTTTGAAAAGCTCTGTTCTTTCAGTTTCAGGCTTGGTTTTGAGCCTCCAGCTCGAAGATCAGTTTTTCCAGTGTTAGCTTTTAGACTAAATGACCAATAATATACTACAGCTGATTAAAGAGTACATCGTTTCATTGCCTTGAAACTACTGTATTTTGAAGGGAGTTTGAAGTTTCAGCCAAACGATGGTTAAATTTATATTTCTTAAATTAAATACTTGAATTAAAACATCTTGGAAGTTTGAATCCTAAGTACCATTACATTGTGCCTTAAATACAAGATTTTATGGGAAACCAAGTCCAGTGAAGACTAGGCTAAAATCTGGAGTGATTTGTCAGCGACCCCTGCTAGTCATCCTTCCTAGAAAAAGGAAAAAGAGAAACAGGATTAAAATTGAAAGCATCTTAGAATATTGCAAATGCAGAAAATTAAGAAGAATTGCGACAAAATAATGTATCTTAGCCCAATTTTTTGGATCGGTAACATGTTTGATTAGGAGAGAAATCATGCGTGGTTTTATAAGATTCAAAATAAAACTCCTATTTCGTTCTAAAATGGGGCCAAAGATGAGAGAATCTATACAATGCCCATTTTTGTCTCTGCTGTCCGCAAAGGAAACAAAGCAAACGCAAGACATGGAAAAAAGTGCAGGAGATAAGAAAAGATAGGCAACTTTCAACAGAAGCTTGTAAAGAATTGTTGAACAAGTCAAGGTCTCTCGACATGCAAAAGGTAGGTGGTGGTAGTGTCTCGATAATGTTTGGAGAATGGAGACAGAGTGGACTAAATGGGTGTGTGGAGATGAGATTATCTCTTTTAGCCTTGTTGGCTTTAAATTTAATTTGGATTAAGAATTAAAATTTGTCAATGTTCAAATGGAAAAAGTTATTTCTCAACTCTTCTTTCTTTTTTCTTTTATCCTTTGTGCGATTGCTCTAAAACAATGAAATAACAGTTAAATAGTTTTTGATATTCCAAAATTTTTGCTAAATTTCACCAAAAATGTGAATTGCTTTGTTGGTTGAAACCTGAATTTTCATTGCTCCAAACCTTTGTGCTGTATGCACACATCAAATGAAACTTTCTCCATGCATCAAAAATATGTTTGAAATGCTCAAAAATAAGTGATTCCCTTTGTACTATGACGACTTACTAGAAACAATGTTGAACTAAAGTCCCCTACCACGCCTCAAATTGACTGGGATGTCTAGAATGTAAATGAGACAGATCAGGATTCTACAGATGATAAACACTGCAGGATGTGGACTAACCGAGAAATTAGCTTAAACCTTAAACTACCCTATAAGCCTTTTCAATTAACCTTGTAAGGCATACGAAAGGACATGACTAAGTACTAACCATAATCCTAATTAATTGATCTTATAAGCTGACTATGAAGAAGAACTGGACATTTTCCCTTCCAATGGTCCTGATGCTAGGCTTCTCAGATCCTAAACTTGCTAATCTTCAAACTAAACAACCTTCTTGGATGCTCAGCTACTTCTCTGCTCTAAGCTTCCCAATCTTTCTTTCTTGTAATCATAGCTCTGAGCTCTAAGTCATCCACATGAACAAAATCTTCAATTGAGCAGCATTTTTAACTCCAAATTTCTTATATTCACTCAAAATTACATCTTATCAGAATCTCAAACCATCAATCAAAACTCATAGCAAATTTTTCTACAACCAAAAAATCCTAGACCCATTGCCTATGAGTTCTGAGTTCCCTTTTTTTGAAAAAAATCTGGTAGCACCATAGTCCTAATTAAATATGTTAAACACTTATCATATCAAAAACATCAAGTTTTGACTGCAGTGATAAGCTTGGCTATATTAGTGATTTTGGTGTTGGAACCTATCAACCTTGTCACTACAACATATTAAAAATCCTTAAGGAGCCATGGTGGCACCGGTTTGTGAAGATATAAGTGAAAGTGAACTAGAGTCTAGGCAATAGAAAATGAAAGAAACGAATATCTAAACTACTGTTGAAAATCCGAGACAAATTCCCCTGAGACCTATCCTTGTAACTATCAACTACAAGTTCAAACTTTCAATCCAAGGGTGAAAACCAATACTAAAGTGCACATTGGTATTTACTATGTTGCATGTAGAATACCCCTATAATCCAACATACAGAAGCTCTCGCCCATCTACCAATGTTTGATTATTTTGTTTTGACATAGAAATATTCTCTCACCAGCTTTAAGAAAATATACAGAAGGTAACTCCAACACAACTAAACTATCTTCTGAGCTATTCCATTTTTTTTTTTTAAGTGTCTTCCTAGCTTGTAACCTTTCTCTACCCATTCTCTAGCTTTAATACCCATCACGGATAAAATAAAACCTAGATCAGAAAACAGTTACTCTTGATTGTTTCATTTGTGATCACAGTGCTATGGTTTGCTTTTGGGGTTTGGGCTTGTAATCCAATTTTTACTCTGTACATGAGACTTAACTATGCTACCACTTCCAAACTTTGCATCACACCATCACTGAGACCTGGGCAACAAGTTCCATTATGAATTTAAGGCTTTTTCAAAGAATTTGAATAGTAAAGGTAAAGTGGGGGTCAACTTTCCATTCAACCTGAAAAGACCCTCCTTAAACTCACCTGTCTCTTCAATATTACTAAACATTCATTCTCTAATTGATCCAACCTAGAAAAGTAGCAAGATGTCACGTCCCCACTAGCTATAACTTTTACTCACTAATCTCAATATATGACTTGTATTCTCTCCCAAGAAATTCTGTCTAGACATACCTACGGGTATCATAGGCATAATTTTACCTAAAGGAAGCACTTTAGCATGGCTTGATTTTAAGCATTTCACGCACATAAAGATGCATGGAGAAATTGACATTTAACATGCACATGCAGAAGCACAAGGCATATTAGAGACATTAAAATTCAAATTTCCATCCGTTACAAGGCTAACCACAATCGTGATTTAATCAGGCAAGAATTTTACAATATCAAAAACCTTTAACAATGATTTCACCACTCAAGAATCTTAGACATGGGCAAAAGATAAAAGAGAAGAAGAGTTGGAAAACAACTTTTTCCTTTCAAAACTTGACAAATTTTAAAATTTAAACCAAATGAAATTTTAAGCAAAAAAGTCTAAAATGAAATAACCCCTCTCCACTGGCACACATGTATTCCACATTATCTTCCTTCTCTCCTCACACTGCCAAGACACACACACACCCTCTTGTGCATGTCTTTAAGCCTCAACTTCTCTCCAATCCTTCACTTGCTAATGTTTCCAATCCGCCATTCTTTTCAAACTCCTTTATTTTTTTCTCATCTACTTGCACATGCTTTATTTGCATCTTTAGGCAGGCAACCAAGACTCTTGGACTTGATAAGACTCTTCCAAATGTGACAACCCATTTAGGAACAAAAAGCAAGTTTCTTTGAATCTTCGTAAAATCCCAAATTTCCTCTCTCAGTCAAACGAATCCATCTGAAAAAACTTGGGACATGATTATAGGTGTTCATGCTCTGATCGCAAAGCAAAGCCGGAATCCTTTCTCCGATCTAAGGGAAAAGGAAGGTCTGGAGGGCGTCGGACAAAATGATTAACTAGCCGTTAGCCTTCGAAGCAGTTCTCGAGTGTCTTAGAGGTGTTTTATTATCTTTTGCCCTCCATCCTTTTGAAGTGTGGTCAATTTCTTTCCTCATCATTTTTTGATGGTCATTTTGTTTCTAATATTTTAAAATGCTAGCAATTTGATCCTTTTTAACTCTTCGCCGTTACTGTTGATAACTAAAAATTTGAAAACATACTTAAATAGAGGGAAAATAACTTTTTATATTGTTTTTAGTATTTAAATAATTTTACCGGTATTCCTCACTCTTTTTTATTTTTTTTTAACAAACTGGCTTGAAAAACACTTTCAAGGGTTTTTGTTGGGCAAAACCATAAGTTAAACCCCTGAACTAACCCCAAAATCGCTATTAAGCCCCTAGACTTTAATTGATGCAGTTAAGCCCTTGAACTCTGGGATCAAAGCAATTAAGCCCTTCTTCTTACGCTATTAAGCCCCTAGACTTCAATTTTTAAAATAAATTGCTTAAGAAGAAGGGCTTAATTGCTTTGATCCCAGAGTTCAAGGGCTTAACTGCATGAATTAAAGTCTAGGGGCTTAATAGTGATTCTGGAGTTAGTTCAGGGGCTTAACTTATGCTTTTGCCTTTTAGTTGTTTTTATTACTTTTGATTAAGAACAGAGGTTAAAAAACATTATTTTCTCTTAATAAAGAAAAGAAAAAAGAAACAAAATTAAGAAAAATAATTACAAAAGACAACATATGACTTTTTAATAAGAATTGTTAACTATTCTTCTTAGTATATTCATTTGTGAAAAAAGTTTATAAAAATTATTATTATGTAAACAAATAGAGTCAATAAATGTTGTCAACAAATTATTGTCACGGTTTTTTCACCTTTTTAGTTTTGAACTTTAAAGTGAAAGTTGATGAAGAATTCTCAATACAACCATCGAAAGATTCTACCAGCTCTAGGCACTTCTACACCTTTTTAATTTGTGATTAACATCAAGAAAAACAAGAGACATATATGAACCCTAATCTTAAAATTCTTTTAATTTTTGTTACATTAAGAATCTTTTATTCAAGTACAAGCTTTTTGGGATTTCATACATCTACAATATTTCAAATTTTAAAGACCTTCATCGATGATATCCTTAGATAAGCCATGTATAAATAGAGGGATAATTGTAGTAATAGCGGGTTCTAACAAAAAATGCTACTGAAACTGATGCTCATTGTAGAATTCACTTGAAAGGAATGAGGTATGCTAGGTAACATTATTACCATATTGAAATTATAGTACAGAAAAATGCAGAAGTGCATAAATCCTTGGAGAACCAATTTAAAAGAAACAACAAAAACAGATCAAAGAGTAACTGTCATTTCAGTTGGCTATCATTTTCCACATGCTGTCACAGTGAAGCCATGCCATGATTATATTATGATGCACCTGAAACCATGATAGGTTCTGTATATCCTCTGTATTCTCTACATGCCATCAAACACACCAGGTCCAGAAAGGTTAAGCTGGGTTTCTCAAAGATTCAGAACCGCTATAATAGGAGAATGGCTCTCTACAGATATTTTCTTGCAAGGGCACGGACTTTTGTATCAAAATGTGAGGATGTAATGCGGGAACCTGGCAAGTAGAGTGGATTCAGAAGAATCTGCAAATTACCAAGCCAAACAATAACAATCAGTTAATAACCAATGCCCTCTCATATAAAAGGAAAAGAATGAGGTTGCTGTTATTTTCTACACTAAATAGAAATTGCATCAGAAAAGCGATGAGTGATTTCTCAAGAACTATGTTATTGGTACAAATGAAATTAGACATTAAGAACAACAATAGGAGAAAAAGTTGTCTCTACAGTGATTCCATCATCAAAGAGAAGGGAGAAGTTTCTAACCGTGCAGAGTTTCATGCTTAGAAATTTCTAAGGCAGGAGGAAGATGCCTGCTAGTCTAAACTATTTCTACTTCACAGAGCAAACAATCTAGCAAATACTAAACAAAACACTACAATATCCTGTTTTTGGAGGATGAGCATCAGGTAGTTAAGTTTGTCCACAATAATGAAACTTTATCAATTCAAAGGGAGGGGGGGGGGGGGTGTCAGCAGCAGAAGCAGTAGCTACCTTTATGTAAAGCTCATGAACTTCTTGAAAAAAGCTCTTGATGCCATCATCATTACGAGAATCATGAAGTAGCATAAATCGTGTATGTATGATAAAGTCAAGAAAATACTACCATCATAATTCTCATATTATTCAACAATACAATAACTAAATTGTGAAATACATAAATCAGTTAAATATATAAAGGATATGACCAGCAGTTACATAAACTGACACCACTAAATCGTTAAACCTGTCAATTGATTTCAAGAACCTACAAAAAATGTGAGCTTGCAGTTAGAAGGATAACTGGAGAGAAGAAGAGCAAACAAACAGAAAGAGAAACATAAATTTTTCTCTAGAATTTGTTAAATGGATATATCCTGAGCAATAGCACTCACATGGCACTGGTAGTCCATGCAAGGTCCTGAACAATATCCAGAGCGGCATGTAATATGAATTGATGCAGCTGGGCAGCATCTTCTCTCTGTCATTATTCATTAAGTAATGCAGTCAGAGAGCAGGAAATAGTTGCTCAACCTCATAATGAAAAGGGATACTGTCAAGTGTCAAATTAACCATCAATTCCACTGAAACTGACATCGTCTTGAATTAAAGACAAAATGGATTAAATAGAGCAAACTTTGGAAGCTTCCAGATACTAAGGAATTAACATATCAGATTATTCAGTGAAGGTTGTTCCTTGAGAGATGCGCACATGGTTGCATGGCAAGGTTCACCCTTGAAGTTACTAGAAGCTAAGAATTTCAGAAAGACCAAAATTTATATAAATGAATAAGAAAAATTTTTAAAGGAAGGAAAAAAAGGACAAAAAATGAAAGAGGGGCAACACTAAGGGGAAAAAGGGGGAAGAAAGAACAATGCAAGCAGCTAAAGCAATACAAACTCCTAGTCAGTGGCATCTGTTGGAATGCACAGACAGATAAATCATGACCAAACATGTATCCTACTTATGGCTTGAAGTTTCCAACTTGACTTGAAAATGAATTTGAATGCAAGCACAAAATATGTAGGAGGATGAGAATAGAGTTCATACTTTAGCGGCAGATCCAACTTCAGCTTCATATATTGGGATGTCATTCCTGCTGACAATGATAAAGCAAGCAGTGGTTGCCATCCTTGTGATGCAGCAGTATCAACTCTAGTTATAGAACTCTGATCACTTCCAGCACCAAGAGTCACAGAATAAATCAATAAGCAATGAGCCATGGAACAGAAATCCTCAATAAAAATATAAGTCTACATGTTTCCCTAGATCAAGAAACATAAAGTAGGAGTATTTTGTCGAGCCAAAGAGCAATTTCACGGAATCACCAGTATCTGTTTGCTTGCAACATAACAAAAGTACTATCCAAGATGCATCATTTTACAGTTACCTTTTAGACACTGCAGAAATAATGGGTGTCGCAAGAAGGTTAAAAATCAGAACTTTAGCCCAAAATGTGCCCACTACAAGGAAATGCTTAGAAAATGTTGGCCAAAAGAAAAAAGATACTAGGGAAATCTAAAAAGATCTAAACCCGTTTCAGTTCAACCCAAAAAAGGCCGTACTTTCACACCCAGAGGGTCATGGCCGCTGAAAATCAAAGCTCGGTTAAACAGATCCGTCATTCCCAAAACTTTAAAAAGGAATAAAAAACAAGTGAGCCATCGTGTCGAACGCTTGAGAGTCAACAAGGAGAGAAGCGACCATGTAAATGAGAACGATTTCGAGGGAAAGAATGAGAAAGAACGAATTTGGGTGTCTCTGCTTGAGTAGCGTACCTGAAGCTACGAGCTGAGCTAGATGCCGCCAACCGGATCTCAAATGAGAAAAATAAAAGCGAATTCTGTGTTCTTTATTTTAAATCGGAAATAGGCAATTTGGGTGCTTTCAGCCAGTATTTCACCGGCGAGAAGGGAGTTGGGTTAAGGCCATCTATCGTCCCTCTACTATCCAAAATAGTGCATTCTAAACCTTCTACTATGAATTGGCTTCATGTCGTCCCTCTACAATGTAA